AGATGGTAAAGTTTTCCAACTCTGTATTATTCTTTAGTCTATCTATACATTCTAGTGGGAAGGCACAGTCCATGTCTTTTCTCTTCTGTTTCTCCAAGGTTTAGCACATTGCTCAATAGGTGCCCAATAAATATTAACTGACTTGGTTGGACTCTTGAGTTCAAAGAGATAAACCGAAGCCTTCCGTTCAAGAATCAGTGAGTACCAGGAAAGAGGTCGGAAATCCTAGCTATCAACCCTGCCTTGTATGAATTTGAGTATATTTAGGCTCTTTCAACTAGAAACAGTTTGATGCAAGAAAATGGGTACATTCTCTGATAGGCAGTGGAGACATGGAAGTAAGCGAGACTAATATAGTGGGCTCCCTCACAGGGCTTATTGTCTGAAGGAAAAGACAGATGTCAACAATTACACAAACAACTTCTAAGATCAGTACATCTCTAAGAAAAGTGTCTAAGACAAACCCAACCTTCAAGCAGTCTGAACCTCTTTAAGGAAAGTCATGGTTTTCCTCTAAATGAATGACAGGCTTTCCTTAGAGCATTCTCTGAAGTGGTAAAATGGAAAGTCTATTGTGCACCTTTATTACACAGGTCTCTATTCCAAAATGATCATAAAATTGTTTAAAAGATGAATTAAAAGCATCATAGCTATGAAGGCTCATAAGTCTGGGTCTGTGTGTACAAATGTATAGTGTGTATGACTTACCAAGGATAACTGAAGCTGACCTGAAAACCTGCAAAAGCTAGAAACTTCTGAACTAACAATCACCAGATATCTGGGAGTCTGGAGATGGGTGTGTAGCAAGCAAACAGGCCAAGGGTGAGCACAGGGACCCCTGAGAACTCCTGACATCCAGAAGGCCTCGACATGATAACAGACGATAGGAATGTCAAATTGTCTGTCTGGGGAACTCTGTAAATCAGCGGGAGCTTCAGGAAGACAAGGATGAGGAGAGGCCACGAAGAAAGTCAGGAATATGATGTTGGGGAAGGGAGACCTGCCCTAAGGGAAAGGTGAGAAACAGATGAAACCTCACAAGAAGATGAAGATGCCCAAAGCTGGATGGCCTGATATGGTGACATCTAAGGGAATGCACTAGATGTCTGAAATGACATGCATGGTTTATTAGAATCAATAAAAATTTAAGGCCGAGCATGGTGGCTCACACCTGTAATCCCAGCACTTTGGGAGGCCGAGGTACATGGACTGCTTGAGTCCAGTAGTTTGAGACCAGCCGTGGCAACATAGCAAGACCTCATCTCTATAAAAAATCACAAAATTAGTTAGGCGTGGAGGCACGTGCCTGTGGACCCAGCTACTTGGAATGCTGAGGTGGAAGGATCACCCGAATTCAGGAGGTTGAGGCTGCCATGAGCCATGATCATTGTGATCACGCTACTGCACTCCAGACTGGGCAACAGGGTGAGACCCTGACTAAAAATAAATAAATAAATAAAATAATTAAATAGAAGTTTAAATCAAAATATCACACCAGTTATGAATCAAAATAATGCCCCGTCTCAATTTTGACTTCTTTATCTTTTACTCAACATTTTCTGATGTTTTAATTTAGACTTAGGTATAAATGCAAAAAGTCATCTCTTTAGCCATGACAAGGAAAGAACTCCCAACAACCTGGACACATTTCTGGATGATGCTTGCTACAAGGGATTCCTTCTCAAAACACCATCCATGGACTCTTAGGACCAGAAAGCTTTACCCTAACACAAGTTTGCCTTTTTGGGTACAAACCTGTGATCCAGAGAGGAAAAGCCACATATCTGGCTGGTGACACAACTAGACCCCAGCCCCCCCACCGCATCTGATCCTTAAGCTTTTCATCAGTAAAAATCCTTAACCCCAAGCGTTCATAGTTGTTTAGACAGCCATCCCCCAGCTGCTCTTACCAACCATAAATTCTCTGCTAGTCCCTCACCTGTCCGCGCAACCAGGTGTGTCCACCCACTCCAGACGGCAGTGACCTTTTCATGCTGAAAACAACACGCTTCTATTTTCTGGGGCACAGGAAGGAAAGCGGCCTGGGCAGCCAGTTGCCCATGCTTATTGCTCCCCCAAACACACACCTCTCCTACATCTGAAACAAAGAGAAGAGAACAAAGAGGTGAAGGAACATTCATGCAAAAGGATGGAAAGTAACACAAAAAGAAGTCATTAAAAGATGTTTGATACTTACATCACAATGCCAAGTGGTTCCAAGCAGGATACAAAATTCATGTCCAGTATAATAACATACTACATGATTTTTTTTTAAATTCCATACATAAGAAACAAGGTCAAATGTTGTCAGTAGTTTCAGGAATAAGAATATGTGGCTTTCTTCTTTATTTATTCATTCACAATAAATATTTATTCAACATCTACCATGTGTGAGACACATTTTTCTATTTTCTACCTTTTAAAAATATGTGCTTATACTACCTTTTGTTAGGAAAAAGATGTTTTAACTTTTAAAAACAGCAGGTTAAAAGATATATGATTTACACTTAAGCTTTTTCAACATAAGATGATTTCACTACAAGTTCTGTCCAGTAGAAACATAATACTACAAAATCACATCTGGACAGCACTTCAGTTTGTCTCAACCTCACAATAATCCTGTGATATAAGCAGGAATGTGACTGACTGACACTGTGATTTAATAGAAAGAGAGCAAATCCAGAGTCAAATGACTCTGGTTTCTATTCCTGGATCTGCTAGCTAGTTATTGACCTTGGACAAATCACTTCCTCTCTAAGTCTTAGCTTCACCAGCTGAAAACTAGAAGGGAAGGCAGTTGGTTCAGAAGGGCAGACAATATGACTGATGACACCGTTAACAGGAGTGACTGGTGGGCGACCATGGCAAGCCAGAGAGCATGGGACTGTCTAAAGGCATTCATGTTCAAAGTCATTTTTGAGAAAACCAAACAAAAGAGGCCATGGGCTATCATTTACCCTACAGCTTGTCAGTCTATGAGTCCTTGGAGAAGCTCTAACAGCTCTTCCAACTCAAACATTCTAAGGATCTACAACTGTAATGACAAATACAGTAGTCACTAGCTACATGTGGCTGCTGAATACTTGAAGTGTGGCTAGTCCAAATTTAGATATAAGTGAAAAACAAACAATGGATTGCAAAGACTTGGTGTAAAAAAAAAAAAAAAGAAAAAAAAAGACAGTGCAGCTCATTAATAATTTTCATATTGATTTCATGTTGAAATAATATTTTGGATATGCTGGGTTAAGTAAAATGTATTATTAAAATTAATTTCACTTCTTTTTAATTTTTGAAATACAGCTCACATATTATTTCTATTAGACAGCACTGTTCTAGAAGATAAATTAATCAAGGTTGGAAGATAAGTGATTTTTCAAGATCACATCAGCTGGGAACCAGAAGTCAGTCTCTGCTTCCTCTGTATTTTGTAACTTCCCAATAAAGCTTTATAGCGCTGCTTGTCCAAGGGCAATCTAGCATATTCCAAAAGCTGATCAAAAACCAATGAGTGTCTTTAAGAGGCAACAGACTGAGATCTAGGAGTCTCCAGTTCAAGTCCCATCTGCTATGTGGTCACTGTTTGACACTGGACAAACATTCTGTTTCTTCAACTCTAAAATGAGGGCATGTAAATCAGTGAAGCCTTTTTGTCACCCAGGTGACCTTACAGCATCGATAATCTGCACTACTATGACGTGAATTTGGTGTATTTCTTGCCTAGAGAGAAGGCAACCTCCCTGGACTTCATCAGGGTGTGTAAAGTATAAAGATCCCTTACAAGAAGGCAAAGTCCTCCTCTCAGCAAGGTATCAGTCCATCAAATGGGCTGGTGAGCCACAAAGATGCCAGTGATAATGAAACTTGTGTCCATAATAGCCTTTGTTTATCTTAGTATGTCTAAACCACCTTTTTGAAAGACAAACTCTCTTTCATATGAGGATGATCACACCATTACATCAGCAGGCAAAATTAAATTCTGCTGCAATGCCAAAGAGTTACATAGTCTATAACCACTCCAGAGAAAAGGTCTAAAGGGCACTGAACAAAATCCAATGTATAACAGCTTGAACTAGATGAAGAAAGACAGTTGTTAATCTTGACAATTTCTCAATCACTTTCAAAATATCAAAAACCAATTCACTTTGTGAAAATACTAAAAATTACTAAATTGTACATTTTTAAATGATGAATATGTAAATTTCATCTTAATAAAAAAATTCAATCTCTATATAAAAAAACTATAATAAAAGTGTCCCACAAGTGAAATAATAAATTTGGTAATGACAAGATTTTTTAAGAACTTGATGTTAGCACACAATTAGACAATCTATAGGTTTGCATAATGTCAGTCATTTCAAATTAATCAGAACAAAGGAGAGACACCTCTTACAGAAGAATGCTCTCCCCATTCCTCATTTCTGTGGGACATGAACAAGTCACTTCTCACTCTGGGGTCTCCAGCCCTTCCTCTGTAAAAGGGGAGATGGAACCAGATGCCCAGTGGAGTCCCTTATAGCTGGCATTCATTTCAACTAGACAATTTTTTTTTTTCCTACCCAGGCTGCAGTGCAGTGGCATGATTACAGCTCACTGCAGTCTCGACCTCCTGGGCCCAGGTGATCCTCCCACCTCAGCCTCCCAAGTGGCTGGGCCTACAGGTGTATACCACAACACCCAGCTAATTTTTTTTTTTTTTTTTTTTTTTTTTTTTGAGAGATGAGGTCTTGCTAAATTGTCCAGGCTTATCTCAAACAAACTTTAGGGCTCAAGTCATCCTCACACCTTAACCTCTCAAAGTGTCAACTAGTCACTTTTAACAAATATATAAATTTACCTGATAAGAGACTTAGGTTAAAAAGAGGTGCTTCTTTTATTAGGCGTCTGTTTTAAATTCATTAAATAACAAATTATCTGTAGCTCAGAATTTTTTTTTTTCATTAATCAGTATTTTTTATTATGGTTTTGTGGGGTACAGTTAAGGGTTAGGTGTACAATTACGTTTCATTCAGGCACCCTGTTGATAAGAAGTGTTTTCCCATCCCCCGAGCTCAGAATTTGTAAAGTACTTAAACTCTCACATCATGGCTCCTGTGCTCTAGAAATAATAACAGCTTCTCAGTTGGACTGCATTACAAATTTTATATCGAAGAACACATGACACCATTCATTTACATATATTATGTACACACCTGAATTTCCACATAAAACATTAATTATGAATGTTCTTCTTTTTTGCTTAAAAAATGTAAGGTAGACAGATAGATACATAGGTACATAGATAGATACACAGACTAGATAGAAAGATACAAAGATGAAAGAAAATAAAATAGAGAGCTATAAAGGTAAATAGAGTAGAGAGAGAGCAATTCTGTAAGAGGTCTTATGAAACAAATCTCTGAGGTATAGTCCCCAGTCTACCAGCAGGGGTCAGAGCAATCTGGGTCAAAGGAAAGGGAAAACTCGCTTTCAAGAAAATGCTGCATTGCCTCCTATGGAAAAGTCTCTAGACATGTATTTATACTGTATCCGCTGGATGTGTCAAATAGAAAGGTGGATACACGGCCAGAGAGACACAATGTAAGAGGAACAGTGTAAGAGGAAAAAGCAGAAAAGGATAGATCAAAGAGATGCAACAGAGATAAATTAGAAAAATATAACAATATAAAACAGATTAGAGAAACATATATAACTAGAGTTAGGTACGAGTGTGTATGTATTAGATAGATAGATACATAGATACATAGATAGATACGTAGACTAGATAGAAAGATACAAAGATGCAAGAAAATAAAATAGAGAGCTATAAAGGTAAATAGAGAAGAGAGAGAGTAAACAGGGAGATAGAAAATGGAGTGGAAAGATATAGATGGGGTACCTGCATAATCAACATTTGTATACCTAACCCTGAATTGTACCCCACATCATTATAATTAAAAAAGAAAGATATAGGTGGATTAAATCAGTTACTCTGAGATTAAACAGCTAGCAAGTAAACATAGTGAGAGAGCTTAGATAGTTACATTAGACACCAGAATAGACTAGATGGCTAAGATAGCAGTTTCTCCCCTCATAATCTTGGGCGTATGAGAAAACATACATACAACTCATAGTTATATAATACATTATGTTATCCATTCATGTTATATATAAATGTACTGTTGGTTACATGATTTGGCAATCACAATGACACTGAGAGGAAGACATTCTTATCCTTACTGTATAGTTGAGGACTCTAACTCAGAGGAAATGGAAATGAACTTACGTTGGCCGTGAGTGCTTTACACGTATTATCATATTGAATTCTCATAACTACTCACAAAGTACTTTAAGATCCAGGAGAAGGTCTCAGAAAGGTAAAGTAATTTGCCCAAGACCATACCAGTGGTGGCATCTAAATTCTCACTCGATCTCGCTATATTAGCCAGGCTGTTCTCAAACTCCTGGCCTCAAGTGATTCTCCTACCTCAGCCTCCCACTGCTGGGATTACAGGTGTGAGCCACCCTGGCCAGCCTGTCCTCTGTATTTCAATATCGCCACTTTAAGCGGTCACATACAAAACACTGAATGGCACATTAAATAACCCTCAAAGAGCTGGTACCTACCTGTTAACGAAGCTGAGTGGTCTGAGCCAGCAAGAACACATATGGCTTTAGAATCCTCTAGACCTACAAAAAAAATATGTTTTCTTTTGAATTACATTTATAACAGAACAAATTGGACAGAGAAGGGACACTCAGCCAGTACCACCTGGGTGTGGGAGAAGCTCTCAGCCAGTGCAGGTAGGTCTGAGTCAGCGGCACTGGCCAAGAAAGACGGCTGGCATTGTAGGTCTGAGTCAGTGGCACTGGCCAAGAAAGACGGCTGGCATTGTAGGGAGGTGGGTAACATACCAGGGGACTGAACATGCAAGTAAATATACTGAGGATAAAAGAGCCAGCTTCCTCACTGTCAGGGAGGAGGAAAGGTACAGGAATGAAAAGGGGGAGGCTCCAGTCAACCATGTAGCACTGGACAGTGATTGGGGAAATCAGTTTAAATCCACAGTATCTAGTAGAGAAAGAGAAATAAATACAGGTGCATGCATGTAAACATGAATGCATGTAGATTTCCTAGCTCTGGTTGCTGAGTGGGTCTAGAAGCAAAGACATCTCATACATTCAGCTGCTACCACAGGTAGGCACTTAAATATAAATTCAGGCCTCCTTAAAACACACGCAGAACTAGATTATGAACTGGCCTTCTATCTCCAAATCCAGCACTTTGCCTCCCTTAACTACATGGCTAGAAACTGGAGGAAAGTTTGGTGACGTGTAGTCTAGCATGCAGATAAATGGAGACTTATTCTGTAGCTCTTTTTTCTGATACTTCTGTTTAATTAATGAATCACTGTCCTAATAAAAATGGCCCTCACGCCTTCAAGTATCCTGTGGGATGATAACAGGACAAAGCAGATGTTTCCAGACACAGTCACAAAAGAAGAACTGGATCCCAAGTGGCCAGGGAGGAGGGGACGGCCAGGGTTCCAGTTTCAGAACTTTTGGCATTGAAGATGGGAGGATGAAAAGTGAAAGACTCTGAGGACAGGAAGTTGATGATCCTTTCTAAGGTCTCAACAGAAAACTTCCCCTGACCAACTTGAAACTAAGCAATGACCCAAATAGATCCCTTCCAACAGGCTGTTTAAATCACCTCAAATAAGAAACATGTATATTCCTTATAGTTACAAGTTCTGTGTTAAAATGTAGAGTAGAATGACACACGGTTTCTAACCTTTAAAAGCTCATGATCTTTGGCATATGAGAAAGCACGCAGACAATTCATAATAAAACAGTACACTGGTGCTATCTGTGCATGTGAAGCAAATGCAATGGACGCTGGAAGAACAAAGCCTTGACTGAGACAGCCATATTTGAGCAAGGCCTTGAAAAAGTCTTAAGATTTTCCCAGAGGCCACAGGAAGGAAAAGGCATTTCAGGCAGATGGAACAGTTTGCCCACGAGCACAGAGGAAGAAGACGGCAGGATGCACCTAGGCATCGGTGAACATGATGTATGACAGAAACTGCTTGGGAAGTATGAGTTTATATTACACGTTTTCAATGTCCCATGAAGTGACCCACCTGTCCAGCATCCAAAGCCACCTCCTCCTTTTCTACAAGTTCCCTCCCCAACTCAACCCATGGGCTTCAGGAAAGCTAACCACCCTCGCCCCCTCCCTCCCACCCCCACAGCTGAAGGGGAGAGCCTCCAGGACTTAGAAAACTCAGAGTGACCCCAACACCCATGTATTAATACATCACTATCACTGCAGCCTACCCTTCCCTTTTCTCTCCCCACCCCTTCCCACCACCATCAAAAACCCCTGCTTGAGTTGAAGAAGAGTAATTAGAGGTCTCCTGGAAGGATTTTTCCTATAGCCAAGCCTCGGTAAACTGGATCGCAAAGTAAGAGGCTGAGAGAGAAGAAAGGTGGAAGAGGAGATGGAGACATGGGGCTCATAAAGAGTAGGGAGCAGAGGGAGGGAAGGAAGGGAGGGAGACAAGGAAGAAGAAGAAAAGGAAAGGGGGAAGGAAGAGTAAGGGGAAGAAGAAGGAGGAAGGGTGGGAGAAGGAAGAAAAAGCCCTGCAGACCAACTAATCGATAGATCTATGGGCAGAACACAGATTGCCTACACTTTGTATTTTCATTTAGAAACATTTCTCTACAGGGACACTCCTGGTCCCGCCCCCCTATAGCCTCACACACTCCTGCTTCCTCCATGCAAGGCACAGTCCTCCTGGGTTCCCCATTGGGGTGTGTCTGCCTGCAGAAAGGATGTGCCCTCATGTGCTCTTGGCCATGCAGTAAGCTCAGCAGGGCCAACTCTTTGTAGCAACCCCAGTTGCTGGTAGGTAAAATTCAGTCTGGATATCAGAATTTAGTGGCTCACTAGTACTATACATTGTTTCCAAACACCTAAATCATGTCTTCCAACCTAGCTTTTAACTGTTCTAGAACTACCAGTTTGACACCCACCTATTTGACTTCATCTATCTCTCAATGGGTTCTCTCAATGCTATGCTGGCCAGGCTGGTCTTGAACTCCTGGCCTCAAGTGATCCTCCTGCCTGGGTCTCACAAAGTGCTGAGACTACAGGTATAAACCACTATGGCTGGTCTTCCCTCTGTATTTCAATATCGCCACTTTAAGTGGTCACATATAAAACTCTGAATACCATGTTAAATTACCTTCAAAGAGCTGGCACCTCCCTGTACGTACCAGGTAACAAACACTGGCAGCAAAGAGGGCTGCTTTTACCGAGCCCACAAAAATCCTAGTAAGACTTACAGACCAATCAACAGAAAGAGTTAAAGAGACCAAGAAATAGCAAGAGTAAAAATCCATTTACCCATTTTCTGCATGTCTGTGTCTCTACTTCTTGAAAAGGATAAATATAGGACGAAGAAGAAATAAGGGTCTCACCTGTCACTCTGCTTGGTTCCTTTGCCATCAAAAACAATGGAAGAGTCTGCCCAGGGCACAACCGTCGTCCAGATGATGACAAACCAGTTCCCCACTGGAACACGATGCCACTCACTTCCCAACAGAGCAGAAGAGAAAACAGAAAACACACATCAGGATAAGATCAACCAGATCACTCTTTGAACCTCAGTGCCATGGGAACTTCCCAATTCTTGTTCAGTTACCATGAGTATTATGGAGAAACTCGGTTTCTTCTAGGGGTTCTATGACTAGTCATAGCAAGTACCACCAAGCCAATCACACATCCGGTCTTCATGGCAATCTAAGACCATCAAAGAAAATTTCAATACAGTGATACTTCCTAAAGAAAGTTCCAAGACATTCCACCAGAGTCAAGTCACTGGAATGATGCCTTTATTCATGATTAACATGAGCAGACAACCAAGCAGAAAAAAACCTCAAAGATCTTCAAGTCCATTCCTCACATTTACTAGATGAGAAAACTGAGGCCCTGAAGAGAGGATGTGATTTGTCCAATGTCACACAGGGAAGTAGTAACAGAGAAAATGCTAGGCTCGGCTCTCCTAACACCCAATGTAACGCCCTTTCCACCACACCAAGGTGAAGTCAAAGATTTATAATTGCCTCACATACATATTTATGACTACAAGAAAGCTTCTTAATAGCCATGATTTAGTGAATGATCTTTTATCTTCACATCCACTGATTCTAACTTATGTACCTATGTTTGAACCTCATACAAATGCTTAGATGAAATTCTATGTGTTTGGTCTACAGTCAAATATGTGCAATGATGATCCATTATACAACAACAACAATAAGGTTTCGCTCCTCTGAAAGGACCCTATAGTTAGTGGTTCTTTAGGCTTTAGACAAGCCAGCTTTGTGAAAAATAAGCTGTGACCACTAGGTACAATGTCAGCAAAGCAGAAAAGAAAAAAAAAGAAAAGAAAAACAAGTGTTGGTGACTTTTAGAGAAACTGGAATCCTTGTGCACTGTTGGTGGGAATATAAAATGGTAACAACCGCTGTGGAAAATGGTAATGTAGTTCCTCAAAAAATTAAACATAGAACTACCATATGATCCAACAATTCTACTTCTGGGTATATATACAAAAGAATTGAAAGCAGGATCTCGAGGAGATATTCGTATGCCCGCATTCATAACAGCATGAGTTCACAATAGACAAAACATGAAACCAACCCAAATGCTCTTTCTTTTTTTTCTTTTCTTTTCTTTTTTTTTGACTTGGGGTCTCACTCTGTTGCCCAGCACCCAGGCTGGAGTAAAGTGGCACAATCAATGCTCACCACAGTCTCGGCCTCCTGGGCTCCTGGGCTCAGGCAATCCTTCCACCTCAGCCTCCCAAGTTGTTGGGAATACAGGCAGTGCCACCATGCCCAGCTTACATATATATATATATATTTTTTGTTTTGTTTTTAGGAACAAAGTCCTTGCTATGTTGCCTAGGCTGCTCGACCTCCTGGGCTCAAGAAATCCTCCTGCCTCAACCTCCCAAAGTGCTAAGATTATAGGCATTACCATGCCTGACCCCAAATATCCTTTGACAGATGAATGGATGAGCAAAATGTGATACAGAAATACAATGGAATATTGCTACTCCACAGATGAACCTTGAGGACATCATGCTAATGAAATAAGCTAATCACAAAAAGACAAATACCATATGATTCCATTTATATGAAGGACTTAGAGTAATCAAAACCATAGAAACAGAAAATAGAACGGTGGTTTCCAGGGGCCACGAGAAATGGGGAATGGGGAGTTACTGTTTAAAGGGTACAGAGTTTCTGTTTTCTAAGATGAAAAAAGTTCTGGAGATGAATGATGGTGATATGAATGTACTTAATACCACAGAACTATATGCTTAAAATGTTTAAGATGATAAATTGTATGTCATGTATATTTTATCCCAATAAAAAAATATTAAGGGCCGGGCTCAGTGGCTCAGCCTGTAATCCCAGCACTTTGGGAGGCCGAGGCCAGTGAACTGCCTGAGCCCATGGGTTCAAGACCAGCCTGGGCAACTTTGGTGAAACCTTGCCTCAACAATAAAATAAAAAATAGCCAGGCGTGGTAGCACACACCTGTAGTTCCAGCTACTTGGAAGGTTGAGGTGGAAGGATCGCCTGAGCCCAGCAAATAGACACTGAGGCGGCCATGAGTGTGCTACTGTGCTCCAGCCTGGATAATGGAGTAAGACTCCAACTCAAAAAAAAAAAAAAAAGTTAACTGCTGGTAAGAATGTGAGGGAACTGGAACCCGAATACTCATACACTGTTGTTGAGAATGCAAAAGGGTACAGCTGCTATGGAAAACAATATGGAAACTCTTTAAACAATTAAAAATCGAGTTACCAAATGATCCAGCAACCCCACTTCTGTAAAAATGTCAAAATCAGGATCTCGAAGAGATATCTGCATTCTCAAGCTCATTGCAGTATCGCTCACAAATGCCAAAACAACACAAGCATCCATCCACAAATGAATGGATAAAGAACATGTGATACATATATTCAATGGAATATTTTAACTGTCCCTTAAAAAGAAGGAAATCTTGCCATTTGAGACAACATAGATGAAACTGGATGGCATTATTCTAAGTGAAAATAGCCAGAAACAGAACAAATACTGCCTGATACCACTTATATGAAGCATTTGTAATGGTCAAACTCAGAATGGTAAAGAATACATAGTGGTTGCTAGGTGTTTGGGGGCAGAGGAAATAGGGAGTTCAATGAGTATAACATTTCAACTAGACCAGATGAGTAAGTTCTACAGATCTGTGTTGTTAAAGTTAACAACACAGTACTGTGTTTTTCAACACTTGTTAAGGGGGCAGATCGCATGTTAAGTGCTCTTACTCCCCCCCACCGCCACACATATCCACAGACAGACACACACACACAAATCAGAGAGACACAAGAAAACTTTGAGAGGCACTGGATAGGTCTATTACCTTGATTGTGAAGATAATATTACAAGTATTGGCCTATATCCAAACTCAACAAACTGTACACATTAAATATGTGTAGTTCTTTGTATATCAATTATACCTCAAGACCTCATCTCTACAATAAATCAAAAAATCAGCCGGGCGTGGTAGCGTGACCTGTAATTCCGGCTACTCAGGAGGCTGAGGCGGAAGGATCGCCGGAGCCCAGCAGGTAGAGGCTACGGGGGCTGGGAGTGGCCACTGCACTCCAGTCTGGGTGACAGAGTGAGACTCCAACTCAATAAAAAAAACAAAAAAAAAACCTAGCAATTATAGAAAGCCAGTAGGAACAGGGGAAGTAAATTAATGATAGGTAATACGCCTGTCCTGCTGATTTCTAGGAGAAGAGCCTGCCTATAAAAGTGTAATCACTACCACACAACACAGTAATCACACTCCTGGGCATTTATCCAGAGAAATGAAATTTATGTTCATATTAAAACCCATCCACAAATATTTATAGTAGCTGTATTCTTAATAGCCAAAAAGTGGAAACAACCCAAATGTCCTTCAATGGATGACTAAACAAACTGTGGTTGGTACGGACTGAAGTATGTCCCCCCAAACTTCAGATGTTGAAGCCCTAATCCACACTGTGCCTAGATTTGTAGATGGGGGCTATACGGAAGTAATAAAGGTTAAAGGGGCCATATATTGAGGCTTTAATTACTAGGACTGGTGTCCTTCTAAGAAGAGGAAAAGACACCAGAAAGTTCTCTCTCCACAGGCATACAGAGAAAGGCCATGTGAGAACAGAGCAAGAAAGTGGGCATCTATAAGCCAAGAAGAGGGGCCTCACCAAGAACCAACCCTCCGGCACATTAATCTTACACTTTTAGCCTCCAGAATGGTGAGAAAATAAATTTCTGTTGTTTAAGCCTCCCAGTCTGTGGTATTTTGTTAGCTGCCCTAGCAGACTGATATAGTGGTACAGGAATGCTACTCGGCAATAAAAGGATCAAACTATTAATAAAGTAATAAATGTAATAAAATATATACAGTCATACATAATATATAAATAAAATCATAAGTACAATACAAAGGAACAAACTATTAATACACAGAACCTGAATGTATCTCTAGGGAATAGTGCTGGAGAAAAAAAGCCAACCTATAGTATATATAGTGTATATGTGTGTGTATATATATAGACAGTATAGGTTGTCATTTTTGAAACGACAATATCATAGAGCTGAAGAGCAGACGAATGGCTAGCCAAGGGCTAAGGAGGGGATAGAGGCAGGTAGCAAGTGGGTGTGGCAGTCAAGGCCAACATGAAGGATCCTGGGGTGATGGAACTGCTCTGTATCTTGACTGTATTAATGTCGATGCCGTGATTATGCTATCACACTATAGTTTTGTAGGATACCAGTGTCTGAAACTGGGAAAAGAACACATGTGATCTATTTACTTTTTACAACTGCATATGAACCTGCAATTGTCTCAAAATAATAAGTTTGATTTTTTTTTTTAGCATAACCAACTCTAAGCCCAGGACCATCAGCACAGTGCTGCAATGAATTCTTCCTCACCTCCTCTCTCCTCTCCCCACTCCAAAACTGGACTCACAAAGCACTTGAGCCTCGGCTGCCACAGTCAATTAGTGCTGTCCTTCAGCAGAAAAAGAGTGAGAGCAGAAACAATGAAAAAGGGAGAAAAGGCTGCTGCTTTCCCATTGCCACCTCCCCTCTCTGCCGCATACACAAACCGTGGGTTCCGTGGCCCACCCACAGTACAGGAGACAAGCTCGCTTGAAACTTTCAAATTAATCAACATTAAAATCCACTAGAAGGCAGTGCTGGTTGCTGAAAAGAATGTGGGCCATGTTATCCAAACCATCCCAGCTCTACCTCTTACTATCCCTGTGTAACCTTACACAAGTGCTTTGACCTCTCTGGGTCTCAGTTTCTTCACATGGAAATATTTAATTCACATCAATTCCCGGTTATGAGGATTAAATGAAATAATCAAACCAAGAGCACCCAGCACCATGTCAATAAAGGGCTAGAAAACTTCATTTCCTTCCTCCCTACCTGCTCAAGCCTTTCCCACATGACTTCTGCCTTACGGTTCCTACTTTTCATCAGAACTAGAGCACAGCAGGACCCTTTGGGGAAAAAAAAACCTTTGAAGGTTTTTTTTCTCCCAAAGTTCAGTTCCTCCTTATCCCATGCCTATTTAAAACATCAAGGTAAAATGCTCACCTGTAGCAGCTAACGCATGCCTCAGTCCAGCAGCAACACAAACAACCCTCTCTCTCAGCAGCTGTCAAGATAAAGAATTTAGATCTCAGAATCATCAATTTACAAAATTTCATGTAACTTATGCCCAAATACAATGCAGCATGGTCTTCATTACGTGTCTGACTGTTTTAAAGCACATTCCCAACATTTCCACCCATCCATAGATACCTCTATATGTATCCCCAAAAGAAAAAAGCATTCTTAAAGACCATATCACACTGCCTCTCAGGCTGAGTGGGACCTTCAAGGTCCTCTAGTCCAAGGATGAGTAAATGTTTTCTGTAAAGGGTCAGATAGCAAATAGTTTCTGTCACACTATTCAGCTCTGTCACTGTAATGTAAAAGCAGCTCTAGACTTACATACAAACGAATTGACCATGGCTGTGTGCCAGTAAGATTTTATTTGCCAAGGGCTCTAATTTTCCCGCCCTGATCTAGCCCAATCCCTAGCCAATGTTGGAAACCCTTCCACAACACCCCACCAAGTGGTCATCCAACCCTGCCAAACGCCTGTCTCCTGTGGCACAGGGCTCCCCACCTCCCTGGGTGCCTGCTCCACCACTGACACAGTGGTACAGGAATCCATTCAGCTCTCCAGGTGGAGCCAAGCCTATCTGCCGGCAGCTTCTGACAATGCTTTCCAAATATTTGAAGACAGTTGTCATGTCCTCTCTAAGACATCTTGTGGTGGTTTTAAAAATAGGTCCTCAAATTCTTTGCTATTCCTCCCTTCAAGACGTGGAGTTTAATTCCCCTCCCCTTGTGTGGGCTGGACTTGGTGACATGTTCTAATGAAAAGAATAAGAAAGCAATGAGTGACTCAGAAGACTAGGTGAAAAAAGGCACTGAGGCTTCCTGCTTGGTGGGTCTGTGTGCGTGTGTGTCTCTCTCTCTCTCTCTTTATCACATCTGTGTATTTACAGGTCCACGGTGTCTTTCTAAACTTTCAGACCCTCAAGGGGCAGGACCTGATTCTCATTTACTTTTACATCCAGGGCCTAAGCCAAATCCACAACAGAACACAACATCCCAGATGCAGCCTGACCTGTACAAAAGACCAAGCATTGGCTTTCTCCTTCTGCAGATTATACTTCTGTCAACAGAGTCCACAATCACATTAGCTTTGGGGAAGATCAAACCTTACTACTAATACAATTTAAATATGCCATCCTTTACATTTGTTTCTTTCTTTTTCTCCCCCCAAAAACTAACTGAAGGGTTTTACCTGTGACTTCAGTCTCCACCACCACTCACCTCCATCTCTTCCTCTCCATCCCTACTGCTGCCACTGCTCTAGTCTAGGCCATGATTATCTCTTGTTTGGACTGCTGGCAAGCATTTCCTAAGTTCTTTTCCTTCAATCCATCCTCCACACCACCCTATGGGGGGACCCCTCCATAGCATGCTGTTCTCCCCATATGTCATATACTGCAACCCTCACTGCTACCCCCTCCATCAGGGCACTCCTCCCTCTTCCTTACGTTCCAATCATGCTGAACTGCTCACAGTATCTCAACTCTCCTGCTAGACGCTCCTATCCCTTTGCTTACACAGTTCCTTCTGCCTAGAGTGCTCTTCTTTGTATCTGCTCTGTGCATCCTTCAGGTAAACGTCTACCTAAGTTAAGACTTAGCTTTAGCCTACTCTCACCCCACCTTCCCCTAGGTAAGAGTTCAGTATCCCTCCTTTGAGGATACACATGCATCTACATAGTTCTACTGTGGTACTACATTTAGGAATCTACATATCTACTAAGCTATAAAACTCTCAAATGCTAGGTCTTCCTCACCCTTGTCCCAACTGCCTAAACACAGAGCCTACACGCAATAGTTGCCATTGAGTAAATGAGTGAATTTCTATTACATTTCACTTTAGCACATTCCTCCTATTGTTCCATAAAATACAGCCTGCCAAAATGTTATTACCTTCTGATTCTGTCATCCAACATATTTTAACCATTGTTCCTCTCTGTCTTAATTATATGAATTATAATTAAGCTAAATTAATTACAACTTATATGTAGGTTCTTACAAGGTTATCCATTTGCAATTGGGAGCTATAACACATCCTATAGGGACTACAGAGCTTAGACTTGTGGGTATACGATGGGAACCATTACCCCAAATAACGCCCCACAGACCAGGAACTGAGTTCAGCAAGATGACAGGACCAGACCCCATAGCTCCCCAATGAAAACAAATCTACTTTTCATCAGTTTACGGAAATTAGATAGGAGTGTAGCAGCTTAGGTGGTGAAACTCACTTTCATTCCAGCATATTTCTTTAAAAACTCCATATTCCTATTATGATCTCTTACAATATAAACTTCACCAAAAATGTATACATTTTAAGTATGATGCAGTGAAAAGAGCTCTGAACTAGGACCAGAGTCCTGTTTAACACTTATTCTACCCCATATGGTAGACACTAGCTACTGTGGCCCTCTGAACACTTGAAATGTTCTTCAACTATATTGAGACATATTGTAAGTGAAAAATGCACAGCAGAGTTCAAAGACAGTACAAAATAAAGAATATAAAATATCTCACTAATAAATTTTATGCTGATGACATGTGAAATGATAATAGTTTTAATAATTTAAAAGTTACTGAAACTAATTTCACCTACATGCTACAACATGGATAAAACTTGAAAGCATCGAGTGAAACGAAAGAAGTCAGGTCACATATTGTATGATTCCATTTGTATGAAATGCCCAGAACAGGCAAATCCACAGAGACAGAGAGTAGTTTAGTAGTCACAAGGACTGGTGGGAGAAGAGAATAGGAAGTGACTGCAATCAGGTACTCAGTTACTTTCAGTAATGATTAAAATGTTCTAAAATAAGATAGTGGTGATGACTGCTCACCTCTGTGGATATACTAAAAAAACCACTGGATTATACATTTTAAAAGGACTAATTGTATGGCATGTGAATTACATCTCAATAAAAACACTATTTTTTAATTTCAGTCGGGTGCAGTGTCTCAAGCTTGTAATCCCAGAACTTTGGGAGGCCGAGGTGAGGGGATTGCCTGAGCCAACAGGCTCAAGACCAGCCCGGGCAACTTGACGAGACCTCATCTCTACAATAAATCAAAAAATTAGCCAGGTGTGTTAGCACATGCCTGTAGTTCTGGCTACTTGGAAGGCTGAGGTGGAAGGATCGCCTGAGCCTAGCAGGTCAATGCTGGGGTGGCCATGAGCATGCCACTGCACTCCAGCCTGGGTGACAGAGTGAGACTCCAACTCAAAAAAAAATTAATTTCATCTGTTTGTTTTTACTTTTTTAAATGCAACTATTAGAAAATTTTAAATTACATGTGGCTCACATTATATTTCTATTGGACAGTACTGGCCTATACCGTTCACCTAGCTTTGTGTCTTTCAGCAAGTCACTCTTATCTGGACTTGTTGCTAACACAGTTCTCTTTATTACTAATTTTAAAACTCTAAAATGTGACTGATGTCCTCATTGTCCTCATGAGATGTATTACCTTTACTGTTTTATTTCATAAAACTTTATAACATGCATGAGGATTAACACCCAACATCCATCCCTCCAACTTAATTTTTCCCAGAAGGGCCTATTTTTCAACTCAAGGTCTCCTATCCCATAGGTTTTCGGGGACCCTGCCAGCCTTTTATTTTGGGGAGGGAAAACTGTAATACCCTGGAAACACTTTAACAGGACATGAGCAAGCTAAATACTAAGGGTCCTCACCTCAACGGGTTGGGGAACCACACATCTTCGAGGTCCATGAGGAACTCCTAACTGACCAAAGGAGTTGGATCCACATGATAGAACTTGACCGTTTTCTGCAAAATACAAGCACTTAACATTGCAAATCTACAAAGTAGACATCTGTGACCAGTGGGTAAATGCTGAAGGGTGAGAGGTGCAGAGGGTGAGGGGAGGTGCTTCAGAGAATTCAGACCATAGTCTCTGCTTTTATTCCTCTAGGAATGAAAATGTTGGGCACCAGGCTAAGTGTTCTAAGTCATCTATTCTTTTTTCTCATTAATGACAGATTACCAGTGCTGGGATTTCAGAATGAGAGGATACTTATTTCCCATTTTTCATGTTTCCATGTGACAAAATTTCCATTCATGTAAACACTCTAGCCTTTCTCTCTGCCCTTCTCCATCCTCACTACTTCCTAAGGAGACAATGGGTCACCTAAACCAATCCAGTGAGTTTGGGAGAAGGGACATCTGTGGCTTGGCACCTTCCTCTCAGGCATTCTGAGCTGACACATAGTAAGGGTTTCCCCAGTGGGGAAGGCCTAGAGTTTAGTAGGTAAATTTAAATGAGAAAAATGTCAAAACCACTCGGTCTCATAATTAACCCTGTCCTCCAATTCCGCTTTATCAGTAATAAACCAATAGTTTGAACTCCAACTCTGACTGCTCTGTGCCTTTCTCACAATTGGTTCCAAATGTGAGCAAGAAACAGTGTGGTTATCTGCTGACTCCCTATGACCTCAGCAATAAGCACTTCATAAATGATAGCTGTTAATAAGATTCTAATAATTACCATCAAAGTCAACACATATTACAAAACCCTTCCACAGAAGACAATGGTGACAATGGAGCAGAATTTTAAAGATTTTAAAGATGGGATTAGAGTTCACCATTTAGGTAAAAGGGGCTGGTCCAAACAGAGAGAAGAGCACGTACGGTTTAATATCACTAGAAAGAAAAGTATAGGGGTGTGGAAAATAAAAGACAAGGCAACCAAAATAGGTAGGGAACAGATCTAGAGGGCCTTGTGCTACAAAGCTAGGAAGCTAAGCTCTGCCCATGAGAAGCCACAGGGGTTTGAGGCAAGAGAGTGGCATCACCAGAAGATGCCCTTGCCAGAGGATTGTGATAAAGAGGGAGCCTGGTCAGAAGCTGCAGATGGTCCTTTAAATCCAGAATGGCCAGCTAGACAGGGCAAAGCTAAAAAGAGAGGTCAAAACTGTCAAGGGAACAGAAGTCAGCTGACAAAGTAACTGCTGCTGGCCACTCCCAAGGATATTGCTCCACTAACCCTTTGATCATATCCTTCTGCAAACCATTCTGCTACCTGGCTTCAGAGATCAAATAGATCTGCCCCACCCCATTTATTAAAAAAAAAAAAACAGGCCATTGTTTTACTAAACTCTGGTGTGGCCACGTGCTCTTTGAGCTATGGCTGTTTTCTAAGTTTTAGTCCCTTCTCCTACCTTGGAGAGGTGAATCTTCTCTGTCCTCTCTCTCTCTAATTTACTTTTTTAAATAAGCTATATTTTCTAAGCTAAAAAAAAAATAAATCCCCCCATGGGAAAAAGCTGCCATCACTGCTATGGCAAACTCTCTTTCCTCAAACTCCCCCACCACATCCTCCATGAGTAACCATAAGCTGTCACTGCTGACCCACCACTCCAGTCAGAGCAATCAGGAACTCATGGGACAGGAAGTGGCCACCACAGGTGATCTAAACCATTCCCCAGTCTCTGGCAAAAGGTTTCCTGCCCAATCCTAATGTCCTTTACTGTTAAAATTCTCCTTGTTAAAGGCACCTCACAACCTTTCTTGGCAACCAGGGAGAACACTTGTGCTTTTTTTTTTTTTTTTAATAACATAAAGAGGCTTTCATTGAATCAGTGGTCACCACCATTATGCTGTTCTCACCTAGCAGTGAACTCACCTGTGAGTATAATGGTAAAATCCCAGCCACAGGCCACCTGCTGAATGGGACAGTCAAGGAGGGATTTGCAGGGGGTAAAAAACAGGACATCCTCTGTGTGTCCAAGTCCCAGCTGCCCATCTTTGTTCAGGCCACAAACAAAAAGGCCTCCTCCATCTGCAAAATACAAAGCCTTCGGTGATTGTGTGCACAGGGGAAAACACAACTGCCAGAGTGAGCACAAAAGATTTCACTCATTATTTGGAATCACAAGCCGGTAACGTTTTTTCCCACCTAAGTTAATAAGCCATGTAGTTCAATGTGTTCTGGAGCCTAATGACACAGGGCCAAGGGCCTCAAATCTAATACCTAAACAGAAATGCCAAGTCTCGGAACAGCAGTCAATCACCAAACTGAGCATCTACTCTAACAAGAGCCAGCATTTATTCAGTACTCAGAACGTGCCAGGTTCTGCTCTAAGAGCTTTGTGTCCGGGAATGACTTATCCCTTAGGTATAGTGTCTAGGGCCCACAAGAACAGCTTAATTTTAAATTATTTTAAAATGAGAAAAATAAGCCGGACTCGGTGGCTCAGCCTGTAATCCCGCGCCTTTGGGAGGCTGAGGTGAGTGGATTGCCTGAGCCCACGGGTTTGAGACCCACCTGGGCAGCGAGACCTCATCTCTACAATAAATCAAAAAATCAGCCAAGCATGGTAGTGCATGCCTGTAATTCCGGCTACTTGGAAGGTGGAGGAGGAAGGATCGCCAGAGCCCAGCAGGTCGAGGCTGTGGTGGCTGGAAGCAGACACTGCACTCCAGTCTGGGTGACAGAGTGAGACTCCAACTCAAAAAAAAAATAAATAAATAAAATAAAATAAAATGAGAAAAATATATATACAATAATAATGCACATATAATATTATATCCAGCCTGGATTATACTCATCTTTAAACCAATACAGTTACAAAATATAATTTTTAATATTTCTTTATGGAGAAAGGAGTCCATAAAGGCAAAAGCACCAAGGACCCATGAAAGTCATCATGCAGCCTTTACACTCACCAGCTCTCCTCATCCACCATTATTATCCCCACGTAACAGATGAGACCACAGAGATAATAAGTCACAGAACCAGGATTTGAACCCAGGTAATTTGATTCCAGAGCTCATGCTCTTAACCAGATTCAATATGCCCTCCTTTGCAGTATGGTTATACTTGTAGTACCTGTGAAGTACTATCCTCAGGCACTGTGAGGATACAAGGTTTCTGCTCTCAAAGAATATTCACTCTAATTGTAAAGACCTCTAACTCATAGGTGAAAGTTAAATAGTAACATATGGTATAAAATATGAAATATGTTACAACTCTGCCACTAATTGCCTTGTAATTACTGAGCCTTATCTGTACAATGGAGGAAGGGAGGGTGACCTAGAAGATCTCTGAAGTCCTTCTAGTTTTGACAATCTAGGATTGTCTGATGGCAATTTGGCTCTTTCATGAAAATGTTTCCCTCTGTAACATCCAAAAGACTGAAAGATGGCAATATAACATTCCAGGGGAAAATGTCTAAATAAGAAAATGAGCGGCTATCTGCTTTCAAAGGAAGTTACCTGTCACAACTGCAGAATGGCCCCCTCCTCCCGTGATCCTCCTGATACACCTAGGTCCACAGAAGTCATTCAGTTGCTGGGGCAAAAGCACATCTTCCTTATGGCCAAGGCCAAGTTGCCCATAGCTATTTGCACCCTAGGGATAAAAAAAAAAACATGGATGAAAAAGTGTGGAAACCAAAAATGTCAATGTCCATTTACCTGTCTCACTTCTTCCACACCCTAACATACCTCTCAGAACCTATAACAACTGAGATTTCAAGGGCTCATTCTTGGGAGGTAGTTATATGCAACCCATATGTAGACAGCAGCCCCATCCTCAGAACACCATGATTCCCACATGGGAAGAGTCCTTAGCATCCACAACTTATCCAGTGACATTCCTCAACTTTCCCTTCCAATGCCCCAGTTCTCGTGTATTGCCCTTGGGAAACAGCACTGAGATTCCTTCTGATAAAAGTTAATTACCTAGGAAGGCTAAGGAAAGAAAAAATTGAGGGGGGCTGGGCACAGTGCACCTATAATCCTAGCACTTTGGGAGGCCGAGGTGAGAGGACTGCTTTAGTCCAGGAGTTCGAGATCAGCCTGGGCAACATAGTGAGGCCTTGTCTTTAAAAAAAAAAACACACACACACTCCTGTAGTCACAGCTACTCAAGAGACTGAAGCAGAAGACTCACCTGAGCCCAGGAGGTGTGGTGAGCTGTGATCATGCCACTGCATATCAGCCTGGGCAACAGGGTGAGACTCGACAAAGAAAGGAAGGGAGGGGGGAGGAAGGGAGGGAAGGGAAAGAAGGAAAGAGAGAAAGGGAAGGAGGGAGGGAAAGAGAAAAAATTAAGTGGGCAATGGGGAAAAAAAGTAGGTGAAAAACACCCTGGAACCAGTTCTTATCCCTCCTCCTGCCATGCCCTCACTGGGAAAACTGGCAACAACTTTCTCTAATGAAACATAGCTAAGGATTTTGTGCCCTAAGGCAAGGCGCATCATTATTTCACATGTACAATGAAAGAGGTTGGCAATAATATCTAAGGACCGTTCCGGACACAATATTTTGTGACTCCAAGATTCACATGATAATTCCCGTAAGAGAGCAAATTTCCCCTTCATAGGCAATATGTCTATTATTGTTATTATACAGTAAAGGTCCATCATCCTTAATCTGAAACTCTGGGCAGCCAGATGTATTTCAGATTCAGAATCTTACAGATTTTTAGAAAAGTAAAACAGCAATATATACATATGTACTGAAGCAAGGCCTGGGGCAGCATCACAAGGAAAACAGTAATGTTTCTGCAGTAAAAAGTACAAATACTCACTAGAAGGCAAGGACTATCAACAGCCTTATGCCCAGTAAGTTTTGGGTTTTCAGAGTTTTTTGTACTCTGAATTGAAGTTAAGGGATGGTGGACCTGCGGAGGGAACGTAATTAAGATTTTAGAAATCCTTATATTTTCGAATAACTCTCCCTCCAAATTCATATGTTGAAGCCCTAATCTCCAGAACCCCAGAATATTACCATATTTGGAGATATGCCCTTTAAGGAGGTAATTACGGTTAAATGAGGTCATATCATAAGAGTAGGACCCTAATCTAATATGATTGGTGTCCTTATAAGAAGAGACACAAGGGTTGCTCACTCGCAAAGAAAAGGCCACTTGAGGACACGGCAAGAAAGTGGTCACCCGTTGGTCAAAAGAAAGAGAGGCCTCAGGAGAAACCAAACTTGCTCATATCTTGATCTTGAACTTCCACCCTCCAGAACTCTCTTAAACAAACGTCTATTGTTTAAGCCGCTCAGTGTGTGATGTTTTGTTATGGTAGCCCTAGCAGACTGACACACCCACACGCACAGATTATGCAGCATGAAAAAACACACCATCAGGCCTCCAAAGACCATACACGGTGAAGTTCAACAATATTTGTTTCAGTACAACCAAGGTCAAACCCGAATGGCTTTTTCTGTCGGATGTTTCCTCTATCCACACACATGCCAGTCTCCGGCCTGCAAAAAGCCAGAGACGGCATACATTCAACCCCTAACGCTACCCCCATCTCGGCTACCCCCAACTCGAGTGCCATCTCAAAGACAGCCCAACTACCTCAAGGCCATACCATGCTTTTCTCTCTTCTGCCAAGCTGAAACCCTAGATTCAACAAGTGTTGCCTTGTACTGATCATCACTTTTTTTAAAAAGCGGGTCCCTTAATACTGATTTTAGCACATAGGTTATAATTTCACCCTCCCCCATCACAAGAGCTGGAAGTCTTTCACTCTTGTGTATTTCCCAAACACCAGCACGTGGCTGGGCACACAGGTAACTATTCATTATTCTTTAGTCAACAAATATTTTACAGGGACCTACAACGTGCCAGGCACCAAGCTAGGCACTGTGAACAAGACAGGCACAGTACCCACTCCTCCGACGCTTACTTTCTAGCCGAAGAGACTGACATTAACAAACTATATGTGCCATTACAATTGTGATACCAGCTACGAGGAACCACAAAACAGGACGTCTGCTTGCTTAAGTGCATGCTGGTCGGTTGCCTGCCACACTCCTGTACACGAACCCTCCTCTCTCTCAGACAAGATGACCCCGTCTCTCCCAGCGCACCGGCCAAACCAACACCAGACTCCCACGACCCCAACACAAGCAAGATCCCGTCACAGCAAAGTAGCAGCAGATACGTAGGGTCTGCGCCCCGTGCGCGACCAAGCACCGCAGGCCTCACATCCAAAGGATGCTCCCGCCAGGCCGGGGTGGGGTTGGGAAGGGGCTTCCATCCCCCAGGCACCAGAAGGGTGGGGGACACAGGTGGCCCCCACAGAGCTCTGAGACCGGCGATCCGCTCTCCCGAGCCCTCCACGCGGTCTTCAGGCGCCCCCGGGCAGAAGGGCTCGGCGCTCTGCCCTGGAGGCGGGTTCTCGCCGCCGCGCTGCGGCCCCCCGGGTCCCGACCCCACCGGCCACAAGATTCCCCCTCCCTCCCCTCAGCTCCCAGCACGGGATCCTCCCACCCGGAGCCCAGCTCGCACCTGGGTAGCCCAGCCCCGAACCGCCCACGCCGAAGCCCGGGCGCCCTCGCCGCCGCGCCCCCAGTGCCAGCCCCGGCGCG